ACATCTTTCGATTCCTCGTGAATAGAGGTATTGAAAACCACTACAATGCATGAGTTTATTAAGAAAAGTCTTTCTGCACTACCTCGTGAATGGTCATTGCTCACTCAAAAAAGGGACATTCATTGCGAGCTCGGTAACGTCACAAGGCTGTATTGCTCGATATAGCTGCATATTGGGTTTGAAAGGGGCAACTACGCGCTACAATACGATCGGTTCAATGTTATCAGCGACTTTTCCTAGATCAAAATGTAGGGTCATCTATGAGGGTGATGGATGAAGATGTGTGTGTATCATGATGATACTGTCAAACAACATCAACCCTCCTTCTTCATCCTCACTCAAACTCATCATCATATCCTCACCTTTACTCTTCATCCTCACTTTCTATTCGATAGTTGTTCCCCTATCTGAGTTATTAAGCTCAATATTTTGTGCCTTATATTCTGAAATAGATAGTTGTTTCCATGTTGTGCAAGAATGTGTCATGTGTGTGGGTGTCCATAGTATGTTCCTAACAGAAAGAGGAAGAAAACAATCTCGTATTCTGTAATTCGATTATTTTTCTTTTTATTTTGTCGACATGTTCGGTTGGTATTCTCCAACATCTAGTAATGACAACAAGGAAAAGCAAACACACTATTGCATACGATATACATATCCTAGTTTCCATGTTGTGCAAGAATGTGTCATCTGTGTGGGTGTCTATAGTATGTCTCGTACAGAAAGAGGAAGAAAACAATCTCGTGTTCTGTACTTCAACTATTTTTCCTTTTACTTTGTCAGTGTGTTCGGTTGGTACTTTCCAACAGACGGTAAGAACAAGAAAGAAAAGAGAGAGTGATGCTGGATCAAACGACAAACAGACAGATTTGTATTCAATCCAATATTATCAATCTGTTCGTCTAAACTCATGCTTTTCAGCAATAGATTTCTTGCCGGAATAAAGTAATTTGTTGTCATTTTCCTTGAAAAATGCAGAAATAAATGCAGGCTTAATTGTTCGCCGACGCGTTTCCTGGTTTTTCTGCATACTCTTCAGATTACTCACGAAAAAAATTCGTATAAAAACGCATTCCAACGCAAACTTTTAGAGAAAAAAACGCTGTTTTTGCGTTCAAACGCATCTTCTTTTGTCGGAGACGTATCTAAAAGCATCGGTTTTCGTTTTCAACACGTTTAAATGCATCTTTTTTTATTTATAACCCTTTTTTTTCAACTTAAAATGCCATCCAAAATCTTCATTCGAACATGTTTAATTTTATTCGTTACGACGCGTTTATATATCACGCATCTTAATGCGTTTTTTTGATTTCTTTTGCTGAAAACACAATCCTTTTACAAACATACGTAAACGCATATTTTTCAACCCACTTTTTACAATAAAACGCTTTTTTCCGATAAAAGTGTTCGGACGTGTATTTCAATTCATGCTTTTTCTTGTAAAAATGAAGCTTTTACAAGCACGTTAGAAAGCATGTTTTAATAAATGCGTCATAAAGCAAATGATTAATTTTACAAGCAAGTTGAAAGAATGTTTTTGTTCGTATCTTGAGTAAAAACATCGTTATAGGATGTAAAAGTCTGCTGCTGTTCTGAAAAAAACATTACAGATACTTTTTTCTTCTTTCTACACTAAGTGGGGCAGTATTATTTATAGAACTTCTATGATCTATATTCTTAGTGTCTTCTTCTTTATCTTTTTGTGTTCATTTCAGTATTTGTTTTCTTTAGCATTAATTAGATGAAGCCTTTGTAAATATTTTTTGGGTTTTTTGTTTTCTCTATTATCGAGAAAAACTTTACAATGTAACAGAAACATGTTCATCTCAAATAGGGTGACCCTTTGTCTTTACTATCCTTTATAATAAAGGATAAAGATAAATGAATCCTTTACTTTTAGAAAATAAAGATAAATGAATCATTTATTTTTTAAAAATAAAGATAAATAAATAAAGGTAAATGATTCATTTATCTTTTAAAATAAAGATAAAGTAAAGGAATAAAGGATCCTTTTTTTGAGGGCTGATGATGTTGGAAGTGCTCTAGGACGGCAGAGATCATGTTCAGAAAAATTTTTATCATAAAATAAATGTATTTGTACTAAAAAGAAGCTATTTGAGGCATAATATGATTTTCTGCATCCCCTCCAATATTTAGAAGACTTCAATTAGCAAAGTGAAGATCCAGTCAGAACTGATATCATATTTTGAATCAGCATTAAAAATGGAGCTGATCTGTGAATATTTCAAAAACTTTTCAGTTCATTTTTTCTCATCGAAAACTTTTCTCGTACTCCTCTCCACGACATTTGAGTCGCAAAAATGAAACCCATGAAAACGATGTTTTCGTCATTTATATATTGGTCATTTTGTATTCTATTATCATTTTACAACTTGAGAGCTTGTTTGCCATTACGGGAACCACTTTTAGGCAAAATTTATTTCTGCGACTCAAATGCCCTGGAGGGGAGTACGGGAAAATTTTTTGATGAGAAAAAATGAACTGAAAAGTTTTTGAAATATTCACAGGCCAGCTCCATTTTTAATGCTGATTCAAAATATGATTTTACTTTTGATTCCATTTTCAATTTTCTGATTGAAGTCTTCTAAACATTGGAGGAAATGTAGTAATTCATAGTATGTCTCAACTACAATTGACGTCAAAATGTAATGCGCCTTGATATTTTTTAAATATCTCGAGAACGAAAGCAGCCAGAAACCTGCGGTTTTCACCATTTGAAAGAGAAATGTGTGAGAAGTAAAATTTTGCCAAATTTGTTTGGTCAATAATCTACCAATCGTGTGAGCGCTCATTGGACATTTTGAAGACTGTCTAGAGAAACTATTTGTCATTAGATTTTAGATTCCATTATGACCATTCTATGGGAAAAATTGTTCGCTTTAGATCTACCCAAGGCTGAGCTCGCTAGCTTGCTTTGTTCAAGAGAGTGTAGGATGGGGATGTGGGTGTGGGTGTGGTGACCGACAAAGAGAACATCCACACACCCACACCTCATGTTAATTTGGATCATGTTTATGCTACACTAAAAAAGTGGGATCTCTTGTTGAAATATTACCTTAAGGCTCTATTCATACAATTTAAAGTTCTTCCTCGAGGACATTTTGACTTCGACGGTAGTTTTACACAATTAGGTCGTGTCTTCATTTTGGAGAAACAATTCGAATGTGTAAAAATATGTTTCAAAGCTGCACGCAATATTATTTTGGCGACTGCTCCCAAGAACCATCTTATGCGAGCCGAATATCTATTACAATTTGGTGATTCGAAGCAGCAAAAACGACACTTTCGTCGAGCGTTCGTTTGGTATCAACATGTTTTGTCAGCTCGTCAAAAATGTTTGCCTTCCAATCATCGTGACATTGGCAATGTATATGAGAAAATAGGTGAGGGTCTGCGAGAACTTGGATATATTGAAGAAGCCATTGAAAACTATCAACATGCGTTGAACATTTCTATTGAGAAATGGTCACAAGATCATCCGTTCATTGCTAATCTCAAACAAGTCTTGTCACAATTTATCTGAGTAGCGTAGACTTCAGTTTCTATTTTATTATGCTTTTCTGTTTTATAAATGTAAAAATATATCAATTACGAATGTTTTATTTAGCAACAAAAAGTTTTTATATGAAATCAACAATTGATTCATATTTATTTTGAAGTCTAATTTTTTTTTCATGATACGAAAAGTGTATGAATCATAATAGAGAAAAAAATTTTTATTTATTTATTTTTTCTTTACTGTTGAATTTTCGGTCCTATCTATATGACCATCATCAGAACAATAATGAAACGATTGTAGAAAAGATAATTCACCACGACTTGAATCATGGACGATAATTATGACTAGTCTAATACCACGACCTGTTTCATGAAAATCAATATTAAAATTTGATATACTCAATTCTTAAACTAATAATAATTGTAATTCAATCTCTAAATAGAGGGTATGGGTCTTCTCTCCACTCATACCCACACCCACCTTCTGAGTTAAATTCTTTAAAAACGAAAATCTATTGGATACTCGTAGTGAAAATTAGATTATTCTTGAAACAGTATCAATATCTCGATTCATGCTAAAACTTGAAGCAAACTATTTGAGAAAACTCAACTTATATTTGTAAAATTTTTCCGCAGAAAAATAGGAGTAGAATACGTTTATGTGAGCATGACAGAAGTTCTCACTTCGGAAAAAAATATTTCTTTTGTTTGATATCGAGACAAGACTTTCTGAAAAATGATCTTTTAATGATTATAGAATAGCAATTTATTTGTTTTGAATACAAAACTGAAATTAAAAACTAAAGTGTGATTCGTTCATTGAAAAATGACTGAAAATCATTCATTGAGAGAGACACTGGAAAAGACCAGTACAGGATTTCTAATGAACTGACATGAATAGTTCTTTAATAAATGAAAAAAAACCAATTTTCGGCCTTCAGATCCCCAGAAAGGCATGGTGATATAGAAAAAAACTTTTTTTTTTTGAAATAAGTGCAAGATATTGAAAGATTTTTCTGGAGCTTTATGCATACACCAAGCCTAGATACTCGGAATAAACAAATTTTTGCATTCATAAGAGTCTTTTAAACTGGAAAAATGAAGTTTTGGTCTGTAAAAATGCAGATTTCATCAGCGGAAAAAAACAAGTTTTTGTCTATATACAATTAATTTAGTACAAGAAATTCGAAAGAATTAATGGAAAAAGAAACATGGGTATAACTGTATTAAATTAAGTTTAAAAACAAAATTTGCAGAAGTTCATCTTACAACATCTTAGACATCTCAATGTTTATGAATACCACATACATTTCTCGAGAATTATAGCCAGTATATGAGGAGAGATCAGTCAAAACTGGACATTCTTTATGGATGAGTTCTTATAGAAAAGAAACTGACGAGTCATCAAATGTATGTAAAATGATTGATTTTTTTGTAATTAAGAATCTTTTTTTTAAATACTTTATTTCAGATTACAAAGAATGATGAGTGAGTAGAAATCAATGAATAATTTCAATATGTTATAACTGACTTATTTTAATTATAGTCTATCTCAAGATGGTATAAACTATTATGTTGATGAAAAAAATACAAAAGATGGAAACAGTACAACTTATTGGAAGCGTTTTCGTTATTTTCATGAAAGTCCAGTGGTAAAACTGTCTTATCATTTTGTAAGTCAATATTTCAGTTTTTTATATAACAAATGAAAAAATGTTTGATAAATTAGATTAGCTATCTGTGGTTTTTACTTGTATTCAGTTACATGATGCTTTATCATCTTGATGCTCGCAATACATTTGATATTCCTCATTGGACTGAAATTAATGTGATTATTACTGTTTCAACTATGCTTTTTGAAGAAGCTCGAAGAGTAAAATTAATTTTTTGTAATGAAAAGACTTTTTTTGTTTTGTGATGTGAAGCTTCGTTATCAATATGTTACACGTATGACTGAACGATGGGGTTCAACAGGATCTACGGCTTTCACATTTTTATCGAATGTATTTTATGTTCTACCATATTTTTTGTTTTACATGGGTCTTGGTTTTCGATATGGTAGTTACAACGAAGGTTTACTTCCTACTGCGAGGTTTGTTGAGAATTTTGAAAAATTCATGATGAATCGAATATATATTTTAGAATCATTTGGGCACTTGATCTTGCATTGTGGTATCTCCGATCACTTAAGTTTATTATAGCTTTAAAATTTTTAGGACCAAAATTATTGATGCTAAAAAATATGGTTAGTCAACAAAGGATGAGGGACGTTAAAAGCACAAATCAGTCCTCCTATCAGAAGTTTACTTGCATCAAAATTAGACCATTTATGACATTCTTTATATTGTATCTGAGTCGATTTATTTACCCGTCTTTTGTTCATATGAAATGCTCTAAAAAGTTCGAAGATGGAGTACGTTTCGATACTTGTTGTTCCACTCATTCATTTTTATGTTTAGTTAATTTTCTACATGAAATTGAACCTCTTGATTTTCTCTATCGGTTGATATTCAGAAGCACAAGAAAGTATTGTTCCATTAGCTTTTTCCATATCGATACTTCACTACTACTATATATAATATAGTGACTCTTAGGATGATCACCACCTAGCAATCTTAGTTAATAATGAAATCTGTGTTTGATATGATTTGAAAAGTGTTATTGACATTAGCTTAGTACAGTGAAAATCTCCTAAAGACAAAATGGGCACCAGAGTATTTCGAACGAAACATTTGCATAATATATGGTGCCGAATAGTAAGCTATTGGAGCAAAAATGTTGCTTTCGAATCTTCCCTTTATATAAAGCAGAACAACATAAAATACATAACGTGCTCTCCAATAAATAATGCATTGTTAGCAGTATCAAATCTAAATGATACAAGCATGCGTATAAGAGTAAAGTAATGCAGCGACTTATTTTCGAAATTGAAGACTAGAGTTCTATTCATAATAAAAGCATTGTCATATTCTCTGTGTTGATGATACAGCTGACAGTGTTTCCTGAATCGCAGTTTATAAAACAAATTTGAGTTTTTACTCTACCATGAATGCTTTGCCACTTGATTTTGTCAACAATCAATCACATAGTGTACTGAACAGAAAAAATTGTTTCATATTCACATGTATAATTCAAGGACAACGTATCTTTCTAATGTTTTATTGCACTTGATTTCTTTTACGATTAATGTCTAAAAACTTTATACTACACTCTTGTAGTTACCAATAAAATGTAAATAATAGGCTTCTGACAGTATGTCGATTTGTTCTTTTAACGATTCCCATCCTTTATGAATAATATATAATAAAGTTTATACAATGTGAATAGTAATTTTAGCTTTGGGACTTATTCGTTTTTGTCTATATGATTTTTATAGCAATAGCTGCTTATGCAGTTGTATCTCGAGCATTGATTTTTTATAAAGAAGTACCATTTACCGGTCGTGGAATTCTTAGTGAAATTTTTTATGAACCATATTGGTTTATTTATGGAGAATTCTCAGATAAAGATTTACTTGATGGTAATTATTCTTTTACTTATTTTGTAATGACCTATTTAGTTTTCATATATATAGAGCGGATTAAGAATGGTACTAATGCTGGAGGAGGAGGCGTTGCAGAAGCAACGGCGACACATGTTTTGTTAGGATTTCATATGTTATTTATTAATATTCTTTTACTCAATTTATTAGTTGCCGTTTTTGCGTAAGTATCAATTGGAAATGTATGGATATAAACAAGCCATTAGAGTATTTGTCATATACTTTATAAAAAAATTTTGTGTTCGAGTAGTGATGCTATCAATGTATCTACTAGCTATGAATGTGTTCCATTATTTTTCAAATAAGCGTTGATAGAAACATCGTAGAGCCTTAGTGCTACAATTTCCATCCTTCAAAAGAGAAGAATCATCGAAATATATCGAAATTTAGTTGGTCAGTAATAAATCAATGAGATGAGTTCTTGGTGGAGATTTTTGTAAACGATATTCTGAAACTAGTTCTCTTATGATTTCGACTTTAATAAGACTAATCAATAGAAAAATTTCTTCTTTGTCGATCTACATCTACACAAGACCGGCATTTCCCTAACACCCTAAAAACTGAAGCGATACATGAAGTGTATAATTGATCGCTAAACGTCTAATATAGACACTTCAAGTGTCAATAGATAACCGATTTTATAATTAAAGTTATACTATTTTATTGTTCATATGTTTTCGTTTTACATTTTTCGACTAGCATGGAAAGTAATTTTTGAGTAGAAGAATGATTGAAATTTATGTACACGATAAGAAGAAGTACATCACCTATTCAACTTTAGAATTTGAAAATAACATAAATATCTAGAAAATAAAAACTATGTAGATAACCATCATGAATTTCAAAAATTAAATGATTCACCAAATGCAAAGCAGCATGAAAAGTATTGCTTTTAAAAAAAGCAAAGTATTGAATAATTTTAAGATATTCAATGCGATTAATTTTTTTACTTATGAAAGTAAATAAACCCAAGCAATTAATTGACCGCGATGACCATAAATGACTCAAGAAAGAAGAAATTAAGACGCATCTAAACTAGACGTAAGATACGAGGGATTTTTTACAATGTGCCGGTTCCGTTCGAGAGCCATGAAACTTTTTCTGAAAACGCAATGCTAACTAGTTGAAATATGATTACTCGGAATTGCAGTTATACAGGGGGTAATTCATCATGTTGAGTGCAATGGTGATGTTTTTTGTTAGATTCGTACTAATCTGAATCTGTTATAAGAATATCTCGAAAATTCCACAATGAGTCTTCATGTAACGAAGGTGCATGGTAAATTACTTCTACCTAGCTGCTTTTCTGGGTGATCACAGATCAATCATAAGGAGAATAGCTTCAGAATATCGTTTTCGAAAATTTTCATCAAGAACAAACATGATTGGTCAATGACTGACCAACTAGATTTTGATAGACTTCAACTGCCCCAGTCGTGTCTTTTGATTTCTGAAAATATTATAGGATAGCACACTTGATTTTGAAACGTTAAAAACTATCAACAAAAAAACGCAGTTTTGTTCATTATCCTACTAAGCTATAATGAGATTTCAATTGCATATCGAAATCACCGATTAATTATTTAATTTAATGAGATATCGGTCCGATATTCTGATAGACACTATGAGCATATGTGTTGCATATGTCATTCAATCTTATCTTTCGATTGATATTTTGATTTAAAAATTGAAATAACTCGAGTTCTGATATTTCTCAATTGATAAGCCTTTTAGAAAATAACAAAACCATATTTTCCAAATTTAAATATTTTTAAGAATATTATTCTCTTTGTGTCTTTTAGGTTAATCTATGGAAAATTTCCGATCAGAAAAATTTCATTTGGAGTGAAAACTAATTCCATATACAGATCAAACACGAAAAAATGAAGTTGATCTATGTAAGACTTGAGTAATTTCTGAGACTTGTTTTTTCATCGAAAACTTCTTCTTGCTTTCCTGAAGGACCGAATAAAATAATGAACACATTGAAAAGCCTGCCGTTTTGATTTTTAGATATATGCCGTTATGTCATCAAATAACTTTAAACAAATTTTTGAAGGTTCTTTATCATGTCTAAATGGTGTTTTCATGTAATCGTTGAGAGGACCAGGGATAATTTGTTGACTGCAGTCATACATCAATAAAAAAGTAGACATTTTAATACATGAACATGCAATTGTTTTACATGAATATTTTTATTTTTCAATCTAGTGATTCCATCGGTAAAGTTCAAGCAAACACAGAGTTTTATTGGCGCTATCAACGTTATTCATTTGTACGAGAATACTTCGAATATTTACCTTTATCTTATTCTCCATTAATTATTATCTCACATATTATTTTAATTATTTTTACTATTCAAAATATATATTGCTCGAAATTGGGTCGAAAGCGAGAAGCACATGATGATTATGTACCAATATCGAAAAGATTAACACGTAGTTTTAGTAAGTTTCAAAGAGTCTTCATTGTTTTTAAATTATTATTTTACACGTAAAAGTAAAAAAAAAATCATATTCAGTTCGGAAGAGAACATTGAGTTTCTTTTTGTCTAATACACATTGTATAAATGTTGTTCAACGGTACTCCTTTGATTGCAATACAAAAAATGCAAGTACTTCACAATCTCCAAAAAAATATCATGCTATACTTCTTTTTTTATTATTATTTAGATTTCTTCCGTTGTTCTAATATTTAGATCATCTAAATATGTTAATGTTCTTTTCGGAGCATTTATTTTAAAATGTTCCCATAGAAAGAAGTCCAATAGTGTTAAGTTTGGTCATCGAGGAAGCTATGAAAGTAACTGATCCACCTCTTCCAATCTACCTGTCATTGAAAATTTTGTTTAATCATATGTGAACTACTTTTAAGAATTGTGCTAATGATTGCATCGTTTTGATAAATGATATTTTTAGTCATTGAACTAGTATGAGTATCTTTCACATAAAACATAGCTTGTAGTTTTCCATTGAAAATCAATATACTGATTTCGGTGTAGCTGATTTTCCGATGATGCTTGCCTTGTTCTCAAATGCATTTATAAAAAAAAAAATTTCACGAAACAGATTAGGTGAAAGACTGTGCTCAGTCAAAAAGACAGGATTCAGCAATGACAAAACAAGACAACTGAAATTACTAAGGTTTGATCAAAAACACGTCCATGGATAAGGTTTATGTTGTTTCTCAAGATGTAAATTGATACAAACGATGGCTTAATGTTTTTTTCCGGAAAAGTCAATTTTCACGTCTGTGAAGTAGTTAATAAACAACTTATCACATCTGAGTGGAAAAAATTCATTCCTTGCTGTCAATGTTGCAACGAACTCATCAAAAGTTTCAGTATTGTACTTTTTGTATTGAAGCGAAAGGAAATATTTTTAACCGGTATTTATAAAATTGTACTAGACAAAAAAGTTCTATGCTTTCAGGTCTGCCATAACGACGACGTGCTTATGATCTTAAATTAGCTTTTCATAGTGGGCACAGTATTACGGTCGCATATGACAACGTTAAACTGTCTTTTGCTTCTAATGGAAAGTGAAATGAGAGACATTAGTAAACTCATAAATCTCACACCTGTAACTTTAGACATATATCCATAACTTCCACCAATAATCTTATACCTATGATCTTCTCAAAATACTCTTATACCGATAGTTTTATTACTATATCTAAGTTCTCATACCTATTTGTGTACGAATGTATGGTTTCAACTGTAGTCTTGTAGCTATATTCATTTCGTTAAATGGTATATCGCAATTGTAGAGATTGAGATGAAGAATGCGTGTCAGGCAGTAATTACGCATAATGTGATTTGAATCAATATATTGTATTTGACAGTCTTTGAAATCAGTAGAGATCGTCGAAGTTAACGACTGTCTAAGAATAAATACAATAGTATACGATGTTAACCAAGCATTGTTCATCATTGTTGTAAACAGTCAAATGTAAGATCATAAGTAATTGACATGTGGCTCTCCTCTTCAAAAAACAATTACATCACGCTTATTTAGCAATAGAGTTATATACGCATTTCTTAAATAATCATCACATATGGGGCATCCCTTTAGAAATGATTCCAATACAAGACTCACAAAACGAACAGTGGGATTTATTTGAAAATGCTGCAACGTATAGTTATGCTCGTTCAATATTACAAAAAAATAAAAACAATGATACTTTAACTGCAAATCATGGAAAATCAAGTAAATCATTGACTGCAATGAAGAATATTTGTTATTTTTTCTGTTGATTTAAGAATTTCGATTACATTTCATTATTATTGTTATAGTTCAAATGTTGAAAAAACCACTGTAGATCAGCAGAAAACATCAGAAAAATTATATGAATTAATGTCAACATTTCAATCAGTTCTTAACGAAACTCGACAAGAATTAAAAGAAGTATTGAGTTTTAATGATATTTTCAATTTGTTTTAATACACTTCCTCTTTTGACTATTTAGACTAATTTAAAAATAGAAAGTCGTTTCGACCAGGTAGAGATTTATTCATATTTGCTTTCAAATCTTTTTTGAGAATCTTTTCTAATATTAAAGATTAGCTAACCGTTTGATTTGACGCGGAATACAACTCAACAAGAGAAAATGAGCGATCAAAAATTTTCAAGACCTACATCTGCAACATCTGTAAAAGTGATGCTTCCTTTAGAAATCAAGCAACAACATTAACTAGAAATTCTGTTCAATAACTATTGTCTGTGATAAGAAAAATAGCTTTTATATTTAGCATGATTTTATTCTCTATTACTATTTTGTAAACCCCTCCCCATATTAGAAGCCCCCGGGGGGCTTCTATTAGACCCTGCAAACTTTGGCCGGGTTTTGCTGGGCAAAACTGAAAATTTTGCTGGAGAGACCCCTCCAAGGGGGGCTTCTAATAAGGGGGGGCTTCTAATATGGGAGGGGCTTCTATTATGGGGAGGGGTTTAATTCAAGTTTGACTCAAAATTGATGAGAAGAAGAGTGTAGTTGGGGAATGAACTAAAGGTCCACATTCACACTCACATCCAAGCTTTATTCGAAAGAAATATTATAAAGTCACACGTTTATAAGGAGGTATAACATTGAAAGGTGCATCTTTCTAGATAAAAGACGATAAAAAAATTTCCGCCTGTCATGTCTGTCAAGAGTGTGGGTGGGTGTGGGTGTGGCTAAATAAAAGAATAATACTGCACACTCCACCCACACCCTTATTCATACAACGAAAAATTCTGATATTGATGTGGCTTCCATAAGATGTTTAATTCTATTGACCACTGGGCTTCCCAGCAGGAGGTAGAGTACTAGGATCTACTTTTACTTTTTTCTTGCCATGATACGAATTATCAATGCCTGATTTGACACCAGAATGTGTTTGAGACAGAGGTTGTACTTGTGTTCGAGCAGCCTGTGGCCCATAACCTATGCGATCCATTTTAGCCACAGATGAAACTTGTGGGTTCGATACAAAAGAACCACGAGATTGATTGAACTGTGTTTTTTGCGTTGTTATTTGATTCTGAGGTTGCATCATCATCTGTTTTTGTTTTTGTTGTTGCTGCTGTTGAACCGTATCATTTCTACTTTGGCTTCCTTCGGCGTAAAGCGATTCAGCGACACAAATAATTAGGGTATTAGCGTACAATTTTTCAACCCATTGCTCAGGAATACCTACTACTGTATAATATGCACCAGCCAACTGGCCATACACGGCAGCGATGGTATCAGTATCATCGCCGAGGTTAACAGCTTTAAGAACACCTTTTTCAAAAGAGTCTTCGTCTGACCAAAATGCCCAGAGAGCAGCTTCTAAAGTATTAACAATATAACTTTTTCCTCGAATGCCTTCTTCGTAACCGCCCCGTTTTTTGTATGATCCTCGAGCTACATGTAGAACTTCATGATGAAGTTCTACAGTTTCAAACCATTCTCTATGATTTTCGTAAAATCGCTCATGCAATAGTTGCTCTTTTGTTTCTCCATGGATGGTAGCAACGATAAGAGCTGCGTAATACCGACAAGCGTCGATAGCTCTTATATCTCCATGAGTAAGACGTGCACTATCACCTGCATATTTAACAGCATCTTGAGGCTGTCGAAAGTAAAATAGAGGCACAGGAGCAAGACGCATTAGTGGACCGTTTCCAACCTGTTGCGATACACTACAATATTCATCAAAACCGGGTACACTTCTAACTTGCTCTAACGACAAATTATCGATTTGTTCATCCGTGAAATCTCGAAAATGATGTTTAAGCATATTTTGTCGACGACAGAATTCATCCAGTGAAGCGCGAGTAGTATTACCGATGTCAAAACATACACCTGTTGATGAGAGAAAACCTTTTTTATACCACCACTTATACCGTACCATTTGATCGTAGGAATTAAAACCATGATAAATGATAAGTGATGAAGCTAGACATAAAGCCATTGAAGTGTCGTCTGTCCATTGCCCAGCCTGAAGACTCCAAGTTCCTCCACTCTGCATATCTTGAGTAGGATGATCGACAAGATATTGATGAGGACGAAACTCAACGCTAGCTCCAAGTGCATCACCGATAGCGAGACCAACAAGCGAGCCAACGACTCTACTCAATTCGTTCGATGTTGTTTTACTTGGTGAAGATAGACATGAGATTTTATGAGGCAAAATCCGAGCATCAGGATGTGGAAATTTCATTCCCAAAATGAATATCTTTCTAAAAAAAAGTAATTAAACGAAACATACAAATTTGAGAAGAATGGAAGCATCGGCTCTAATAGAGATGATGACACATAACAAATATTACTATCACTCAGTAGAGAAACGTTAAACTTATTCTAAATGTAACTAACAATTCAAAATAAATCCACGATTTAATTCATCATATTATCGATAGACTAGGTTTCATTCACTTGTGAGTATGCCTCTTAAAAGTCGTTTTATTATTCAAGGTTTTTTAGAGAAAATAAAATGTCAACAGTCAATAAATCGCGATAATTTTTAATAGCCAACGTCGAGATATTTATACCAAAAGCCAAACAAACGAGACACAATTTTTCTTTTCTTATCTCAAGGAAAGTTTAAACTGATATGCGAGCACTATAGTCATATGTGATAAAAAATACATTACTCGAGAGTTGAACACTGAAGTAAGAAGAACATAATGAACAACACTTTTTTTTTCGAAATGGCACATGTTACAAAGAACATGTTACTATTGACTACAATCTCTTGCTTTCTTTTTCTTTCTGTTTTATTTCGCACCTCCACTCATTCATATTTGCATTTAATTTTTTCTATTTCTTGTCTACACAACTGACTTGCAAATTATGGTGACGAGACAGACATCATATCTGAAATTCAGCATTATGGTCATAATAAAAAAAAAAACTTTACAATCAATCTCGTTAGCAACAAGTAACTATTCTAATGAATAACAACAAAAAATAAACATTTTACAATAACCGTTGCTAAAATAAAAGAACGACGCAGACAAATTTCACGAATTTTTTCTTGTGTATTTCAAATGTTGTATTTTAAGTAAACAAATATAAATTATTCGAAGTTTTATCTTAGTTTGCGATTGAAAAGAAACTGTCAAAATCAGTCAAAAATTATTCACCAAGAGTGCCGTTAATAGTCATTGTCAGATGTCGTCCTTTTACATTTAATAATAGAGAATGAAAACCAAAAACACACTTCACAAAAGAAAAAAAGTATATCGATATGAATAAATGCAGAAAAGCTCAAAAACGAATAAGTAAATACAGGATTTTATGACTTTCAACAACTTCACAAATATCACAGAAGAGTTTTCATAAAAATTCAACTTGAAAGGATAACTATATTGACTAGTATTATATTTACGGATAAGATTTTGTTATGTTTCAATAATTCTAGTGTTCAACGTATTTCTGATAACTCAATAGTTTTTGATTGACCATACAAAGTAGACAACATTATTTAATACTGATGGTTAACATGTCCAAGCGTTGGATTCGTTCTAATCAAATACATTCGAATTCAACTTAGCATTTCGGATGTGGATGTGCGTGTGGGGCGTAGTTGTAGGTATGAATCTAAGTGGGTGGATGTAGACATGGACATGAGTATATTTTTCTCTGCACACACTCATCCAGTCATATTGACACACATTCACTCATACCCTCAAGATAGTCCAATGCCTGCTCATTTAACATATTTTTTGTTGACACTGACATCCAATCTGTCCTTGTAGAGTCGAAGCTACTCAATATATTATTGTTCAGCTCTTTCAATATATTTTTAAGTGACTGTTGAAATCACGATGTTGAAATGATCGTGAATAAACAGATGTATACAGTGTAGGAAAAACTTCCAGAAATCATGTTATCTTTTGCTCTCATCAAAGATTTAATATGAGAGAAAAGTCTACTAATAACATTGCGTACGACTACTATTCTTTCTCCGATGCGACTAAAAATGTCAGGAGAATATAGTGATAAGAGAATGGAAATAAGCGTGAAATGAATTAGAAAAACTACGAATACAACAAAGTAGTATAAAAACAAAAGAATGCAACAATCGAAAGTGACCATTCTCTTTATCTGAATGATAGTTACACTTACAACTGAGAAAAGTCATACCTATGTATAATTGTGTCCTAGAAGCAAAGGTAAATTTGTTGCAATAGTAACTCTGTAACGACAAAATTGAAAGAATAGCTTACTGTCATCCTCGCTAATGATTCTTATTTACCTACTTCATATCGTCAGAATGTAACTAATTTCTACACAACACTGGTTCGTATGTAAAATAGAAACAGAGAAATAGATGAATACAAGAAAGAACCATCGAGAAGAGATGATGTCAATATCAGCATAAATGCAAATAAATTTCATCGACAGTTGATTCACTTGACTTTAAACTGACGGAATAGTTATATGAATATAACTGCATGCAGACATGAACGAACATTCAACTGTGTCTGTCTATTGGCATTTGGACGCAAAGTGTGGGTGTGCACTGAAATCCTTCTCTTCATTCACACCCTTATGGACAGAAGTGTACGAGTTCATGATACTACAAATTGTTTATATATATATATATATTCTTGCTTTTCTGTAGAATTATAGATGCTGCCTGTTCAGGAAATCTTCGAACCAATGTTAATGAAGAAAAAAATCGATATTGTTCAAGCAAGAATTGAAGATTATTCTCATTCAACATACGAATAAACAGAAAACATCTTGAAAATTAGCTCGTCAACAGTCTATTCAATAGTTTACAATTATTGGATGCTACGCTAAGTTTATGCTTGATGAGTGCCTCGTAAACTAATTTTTAACATTGCCACTGGCAATAAATCATGTTTCCATCACTATGATCCGAAACTAAAAGAGGAATCAAAAATTAATCCTTGATCAACCAAAGTCTACCGAAACACAATTTCAAGCAAAAGATTGATGTTGATTTTCTTCATGAAATTTGGGTTCAACCAACTCTATACCATTAGAAACTGATGAGATGATAGATGTTAGTTATCATGTCAATATTTGTGTGGCTATGATCTTCAAAACGATGTTTGATTTAAGAAAAAGGATCGATGTTGAAGACCTGATTTTTAACGCCGATACTATGAGACTACACACAGTGTCGATTACTAATCAATTTTTAGCCGAAAATCATGTGGAATCATATTCAAATTCACTCTATTCTGTAGATTTTTACTGCATATAATTTCTTCTTTTATTTGAAACTTAAAAACCAACTATTTCAAATTTTGAGAAGGAATTTAGAATGCAAGAAAGAAAATGTTGATTTTGAATGACACAATCGTTTTAGCCATTGGAATTGATAGTTACGAGGGGCGCAAAATTTCGACTGAGAATTTACATCCACTATCATCTTCAAAAATATATTTCAGCTTCATAAAAAAAAAGTATTTATTAATTTTCTGAAGTTATTATCTTTTATATGTCAATACAAAACGAAAAATTACAAAAAAGATAAATATGAAAGAGATGAAAGAAATACATTGATAAGAAACAAAAAATATTTGATTCATATTTCACCTGTTTTACTTGATAATTTACTTTTTGCTATATCTTTTATGTATATTTGAAAACGTGTTAGAGCTCGAGATGATTTTCGATCAAAATTAATATTTGCAGCAAATATTCGACACATAACATTGATTAATACATTTGATTTAACTTCATTAAATTGAACCCATACATATGGTGCTTGATATACATCTTGACGTTCTTTTTTACCTCTGAAAAATATTCTCTTTGACAAAGTATTGACCTAACATAGTTCGATAGAGCTCGTCGAGTTCCCACTAAAGAGCTGGGCTATTTTTTTCTAACTATACAAAAACAAGATAACTCGATAAGCTCTATTCAACTATGACAAAAAGAAATCACTTTTCTTACTCATAAGGAAACCATTTGATTTCAAGTGAACCACAGTTATTATCATGACCATTTTCTGATATATAAGTTATATTCTTAATACTATCAACATCAGTCGGATACTAAATAAGAGAAAATACAAACAGGATTTTCTTTGTTCATACAAAATAATTATAAACTACTTCTCCATAACAATGAATAGCAATAGCATTAGAATTCGATCGACATCCAGCAGATTTAAATGCATGTTCATCTTCTTATAAATAACCTGGTTTTGGTACAAAACCAACTATCTAGAATTAAATAGAATTTTATTTCGATTTTTTATTTATAGTCATTTTTTACTTTATTCATTTTAACAAATATACATGGTTTTCCATTTGCATATCCATATTGATTTTGAGCTGTACAATCACCAGGATTAGAAATTGTAAATTTTTTTGTTTGATTAAAATCAATATTATCGTGTTTCCAGTAGTCTAATATTGATTTTAAAAAAGATTCGTTATTCTCATTAAATAAATCTTTACTTACAAACTCGAAAATATTGATTAAGACTTTTAACATAAGGATCTAATTCATTTCTAGATGCAGTTTTGTCAATTAATATAAGATTTTTTTCTATATCTAATTGTGGTCGAAAACCTAAACCTAAAATTAATTTAAAACCACATGCTTTATTTTGTAATTTATTTTTATCACTAATACAAATCAGGTGAAAGAGGATTTGAACGAGTACGCATACATGATGATTCTGGATGATAACGTGGACGATCTCGTGGTGATAATGCCATAAAAATAGTTAACATTGTACAGAAAAATCCACCTAAACCCAGATAGAAAAAAATAAAACATGCCTAATTTTTCTATAAATATCAATAAATATATAGATATGTCTCAATTAACATTTTAATTTATCCCATCGAGCTCCATCTCTACCAAGAAATTCTCGTCGTTTTGAATTATATATTGCATCTATGAAAGCAGATAATGTACTTTCCATGATGATTATTCCCTACAATAATACTAATCTTAAAAAAATATATTATCGATTCAATAGATGAAAATATAATTGGAGTACAGAACTTTTGCTTCTTCCCTTTTTTCGAATACAATAAGCGAAATCTAATCTATGTATTTCTGAGCTTTGTAATAGAAACAAAATTCTGAAAGAAATTCTGAACACATATTGGGAAAGTGTTTCCTTATCTTCTATCTATCTCTCTCTATTAGTCGTAGTTTCTTGATAGAAATTATTAGAAAACTAAAAAGAAATAACTTATTCCCTCTCACAACTGGCAATCATGTCCTAATACACTCTACAGTACAGAGCATTCCGACTACATACATACTACCGTACATCGTCCTGTCTATTGGATTAATTTGATTTAACAATATCTTTTTTTTTGGCTCTTCAAGAAAAGATTCGATTAAATCATGTCTCGTCTACATAAAATGTCTATTCAAGGCATACATAGCTTTGGAAATCGAGATCAAGATACTCAAGTAATAACATTTTTTTTTCCATAAACAGTTATTGTCGGTTCAAATGGATCGGGTAAAACAACAATAATTGAATGTTTAAAACATATGGCAACAGGTATAATGCCTCCGGGTGCTAAAACAGAAGGAGCATTTGTACATGATCCAAAAGTAGCTCATGATATGGAGATACGTGGTCAAATTCGACTGTTATTTCAAGATGTTATAGGACATAATGTACAAGTTCAACATACACTTGTTGCAATACAAAAAGTAAAAGATAAAAGAAAATGATTCTTTTAAAAGAAAAAAAAAACTAAACTTCTTTCATAGAAAACAAATATTAGTTTAAGAACTCTTGAAGGTGTTATTATTCGTGAAGGTATTAATGGTGAACCAATACAGATAACATCAAAATGTGTTGAACTTGATAAAGAAATGGTTACAGCATTTGGTGTATCGACAGCTATACTTGAAAATGTTATTTTTGTCATCAAGAAGAATCAAACTGTTTAGTTCGAAAGTTATTTATTTAATATAGATATTTATTAAAATATATCATTTTTAAGGCAATTAAGTAAAGAAAAACAATTAAAAACAAAATTTGATGATATATTTGCTGCAACAAAATATATGAAAGTACTTGAATTAATTCGAAAAATTCGAACAGATAAAGTTTGTTGAATGAACATATTTTCATTTTTAAACCAAAGAGATCTTTTCTTTTTTCAGTTACAAACAGTTAAAATTAGTCGAGCAGAAATTGATCATTTAAAAACATATCGTGATATGTTAGTTCAAGTATGGTTTTTTTCATTGACATCATAAACAAAAAAAAATTATATATTCTTGATAGAAAAAAAAGATAATATGCAGAAATGGATGAACGTCGTCAAACATCAAAAATTAATGTTGAAAGTATTCAACTTAAACTTGAACCTATTGATGTAAGTTATACAAAAGAAAACAACACTTAATAAATAACATCTATCATAAAATGAGTACGAACACTTTTGCAAAAACTTTCACTGTAAGACCTATGTTTGCAGTAAGATTACTGGACAATAACAGTCATATATATGTTTAATTTGTTCAGATAAAACCACGCATTTGATTCAAATAATAATTTGAATAGCCAATGAAACTCTCTATCATATTCATTTCATACCGAAATTTCATAACTGGAACACGAGAGGAAGACTGTAGAAAAAAGATACTTAGTCAGAAAATTCTGAAATTTTTATATAGTCTATATTTTTTTTTCTTGAAGCCTCATTTGCAATTTATTGCTAAAGAAAGTTCAAAAATCGTTGATTGTCAACAAGATCTGGATATGATATTTTCACAAAACAAAAAAGTATATTTATTATTATTATTATTCTTGATTAGATCGTCTTACAAATGATGGTGAAAAATTAAAAAAGAAAATTCGTGAATTAAATGCAATTATTGATGAGATATTTCAAGGTTCAGAAGATGAACTTAAATTATTAATTGCTAATTTTCAACGTGATCAAGATAAAAAGAAACGTAAACTTCAAGATGTAAGAATATTTTTCATATGACTACTTTTTGTTTTTTTGTTGAAAAATACAGTAAAAAATTTTAATTATCTCAAGAATGAAGTGTGAATATAATTAGAAAGTTTTATTAATTTTTTAGTTAGAAGCAAAAAATAATTGACAAGTGAACGTCAAATAAAAAAACTTATTGATAAACATACATCAGACACGACACGTTTAGATGCATATGAATTTAAAGAACAACAATATAAAACAAATTTAAATCAACAATTAAATTAAAAAGTACACAAGTTGAAAAAACATTAAAAGAAATTCAAGATATTAAACAACAACAAAAACAAATTGAACAATATTTAAATAAATTAAATGATCTTAATAAACGTATTGAACGTAGGGTGGGTGTGGGGTGTGGGTGTGGGTGTGAGGATAAGTGGAGGAACCCACCCACACCAACACCAACACCCACACCAACACCCACACACACCCACACGCACCCACGCCCACGCCCACCCACACCCACATACGCACCCACACCCACACCAACACCCATACCCCACACCCACACCATGATAAACTCAATGATACCATATTATTCTTTCTTGATAATAGTCCAATCAGAGCGATTGAGTAACATGAATCTTTATTCAATGATGAAATTTAAGAAAACTAACAAATTGGAAGAGGAAAAACGAATATAGTGCAATTCACAAAATGAATTGCAATAGCATGAAGAGATGTTATGCAAGAAATCAACGAAATAATTCCTATTATGCTTATTTTCCCCACACTTTCTGGTAAAATCAAATGACAGAAGCGGAGAAAAAAAGAATCACAGAGAAAGAATGAATTGGACACGAAAAGCAAATAAAAGTGCTGGATAACAAATTGCAACAGTATTAAATGATCATATGTTCAATGGTCATAAACTGTCATTGAATTTCCTACAAATATATTTAATAATGATAATAAAAAGACAAGATACAACTGTATATTTACCAAGAATCTTGATTGTAACCATCTATAACATGCTTCACAAGAACTTTACGACGATCTTCACAATAGCGAGATTTATCTTGGATCTTTTGTCTCATCTGAATCAAATTATCTTGTGTGAGCGTTAAATCTCTTTCCAACAAATCACTCAATTCTTCAGTAGCATGTTGTAAATCGGCTTGATTCATTTCAAAAATAGCACTAATCAAAATTAAGAAAAGAATCTCGTTTAAGCACAGCTTTGTAATTGAAAGTAAACAGAATTCATCCTTACGAATCATTACTTGGCTTGAGATAATATGCAAACGGATAAGTATACATTAATGTTTGTCGACACAATCGAAGAGCTTCGCAAACAGGTAGAAGAAATTGTACCTGAATCCAATCTACTTCTTTCTGCATGATTTTCATTTTTTGTTGTACTGTATTCAAGAATTTGTCTTCGAATTGTAACGATTGTTTATGACCTTGGTAATGATTGAAGAAGTGCAGGTAACGTTGTAGTGTCGCTCTGGAATGTTCTTGGGCATTGCGTGCCTCCTGGACATCGGTTTCATTGAAACGATTACAACTGTAATAAGATGATCCATGAGGTGCCCATTCACCCATACATATCCAGCAAAACTCATATCTACATGATAAACTTCTACAAGTTATATGATTGCAACCGCCATTCTTCTCTGAAATTATATAAGAGATATTCTAACATATGAAAAACAAATATTGTAGAAGTGCAACATGATTACCGATTGTTACGTGACACTTTGGACAATCTTTCGTATTAGCAGCAATCCAATTACTTGTTTCACTGTCATCTTGACACTTTTTATGCCATCTTCTTAACCATTCACATTTTATTGGCTCATGTCCATCGTCACCGCATTGAAAACAGAAAGATGTGTGGCAAGTGCATGTAACCTAAACGTGTACAATAAACAACATCAATAAGAAAATCTTTTCTATTTTCATCTACCGTGGTCACACCCGAAGATAATAATTCTTTGATTGCATTTTTACAGTTCTTTCCTGGACACCAGCGCATTTTTCGATTACATTGTACAAACGAATTTGTAATTAAGTACTGATATTTGTTACGTACATCCTGCGATTCAATGATATGGAGAACAGTTATGTCGTCGACTCGAATATTGCATTTCGCCGGACATGAAATTGTTTCACTAATACCTTCATCCATAATTTTGCTAATTAGATAATACTGCCAACATTCAATACAGAAGACATGGCCACATTTAAGACCACCCATTTCATTGGATGATTTCGTCACGCAACATATGACACAGGTATGTTCGATAATTGGTGTCACTGGTTTTAAGTTTATTAATGGTGATGACGGTGGTGTCATTATCATGGGTGATGGTGTTGATGGTGTTGATGGTGTCAAACCTTGACGACGAAAAGAGTGAAGAGGAGACGACGATAATTGTCTTTTTAAATCTTCGACACCATCAACATTAGGTGACTTCTTGAATGGATTAACAATATTTGCGTCACGAAAAAGCTTGTCTTGATAATCTGGATCAAAAAATTGTTCCATGAGTCTTTGTTCATTCCAATGTACATGCTGCAATAAAAGACGCACTGTTGTCGAAGGTAATTTAATTGTTTCCTTGACTTTTTTGACACATTCAAACATATATTGGCTGATTTCTTCTGGTGTCAATACTAGATTTTAAGGAAAAAACAAATGTTTATTGAATCAGATCAGAAGTTCTGCACGATGTTTATTCTATTCTGTGTATGCATATTTCAATAGCGTCTAAGAGATTTAACAATCAACGGAATACAAGAAACTAATGAAATCCAAAGAATGTGGTTGTGAGGATGCGAAAAAAGGCAAACATTTAGACTCAAGTCATAGCTCAGTACAGACGATCCCAAACACTGCACTGCTACTGCTTGACGCATTCTGTGAGTTTTGGTATTCGAAATTAATGATTACTTGCATCTTTTTATTGGTATTTGGGTTCAGAAAATGCTCAAGAGTTCAGCATTCACAAACTTGAACTAAGTATTTTTTTTACTTAAAAGATGTACTATGTACAGTTTAAATACTGGTAATAACTATTGGTGTAATAAAGATTTATATTCAAGAAGAATTACATGTGTAATATATTGGCTGCTGTCATTTTCAAAATAAAAGGCAGATTGCCATTTTTCAAACGACTGTTGATAAAAATGAAGTAGAGAACTTCGATTTTCACCACTTGAAAGAAGATTTTCGAAGCTACACAAGTATGCCAGAATTCGATTGGTCAATAGAAACAACCAAAGTTCTTTATTTCATATCTATCAACGGTGATTTGAAAAATGACATCCCGTAAAATTTCTATATCTTCATTGTAATGTTCTCTACTTTTTTGTGAAATATTACACCAAGACTATATATAAGATTGTTTGAAACGATATTCAGACACAACAATGTTACGGAGAAGTAGCGTGCCTCGAATAGAAAGTCAATTGCACAGAAATATTTTATTCCTAGCGAGAATCCGTGCATACTGCACCGCTGTTTTCTCCCTTAATGTTTGACCTCAAACATTTAACTTTTCATTCGGTAAAACACATACAGACACTCGATATTATGTATATAGATCGACTACCCTACGACCTCATACTCTCATATCGAACATATTTTTATAGTCCATGCAGCCTTCGGCCTTATAGCCTTATCTCCCTAGTGCCTTACTCCCTTCAGGACCTCTGCGTATCACAATATAATAGCCCTTGAGGACCTATGGGTACCCCGATAGGATAGTAGAATAGCCCTTTGAGGACCTATGGGGATCCCATAGGATAGCTGTTGAGGACCTATGGGTACCCCCATCGGATAGCCCTTGGGGACCTATAAGTCCCCATATATAATAGTCCCTGGAGATCTTGTCCTTATAGCTTTATTTGACCTTTAGCCTTTAACCCGGCACAGGCACACACACAGACAGAAACTGAACATTATATATGTAGATATAACGTCTACATAGATGACAAAGATTCGGAAGTAAAGCTTGCATTTAGCAGTCATATTCAAGTGGATATGTACTACACAAGTGCACACTCTAAAAAGAAAACAGGTTTTTTATCGAACCCCCGAAAATGGTTCCGTAGATTTGAAAAAGCTTGTAAATGCATTCAAATGGTTAAAAAACGATTTTTCAGTTCTACGAAACCTTTAAAGATTCTTCCCCGGGACACACGGGAAGAACCTTATTCCTGCGAAACCTTTTTTAAGTTCCGTATAGCGAAAAAAGTTTTTGTAAAAAAGTACGAAACCTTTAAGGTTTCGCATTAAATTCTAACGGCTTTTTACTAAGCACTAATGGTTCCGCCCTAAACTAGTAGAATTTAATACGGAACTTTAAAGGTTTCGTATTTTTTTAAAAAACGTATTTTTTCTATACGGAACTTAAAAAAGGTTTCGCAGGAAAAAGGTTCTTCCCGTGTGCCCAGGGGAAGAACCTTTAAAGGTTTCGTAGAACTACATAATCGTTTTTTGAGCATTTGAATGCATTTGCAAGCTTTTTCAGATCTACGGAACCTTTTTTGGGGATTCCGTAAAAAACCGGTTTTTTAGAGTGTAGTTGGTACTTAAGATCTTCAAGTAAAAAAGTGCAAAAATACCAAGTATTGTACTAAGTATCCAATCATTAACCCAGCATTTTATTTTTTTTTGACTCTAATTGAAAATGTTTGACATACCGACATATGTAGCGTTTTCACTCAATGAATCAGTGTTAAAGAATTGTTTTTGATCAAGTTCGTCGATGGCGAAGAAATCGGAACCATCGTAATCAAAATCATTATCAGCACCTTCGTCGTCAATATCTGTCAAAGATAAATGTAGGATATTGTTCAACTCAAATTAAAATGATGAATTTACCTTGATAGAATTGTTCCTCGTCGTCTTCCATAATATTTTTTTTGTCAAAAGCAAAAACTCTCTGAAATAAAAACACATTTTATTATCGGCTATGTTGTGAATAAAAACGTTGACATATGAAATTAGATTAGATTTCTTTTAATATTGCATCAATGCATAGTAATAAATGTCGTTCGAGGAAGAAAAACCAATGAATAAAATCTTATAGACGCCGTCAAATTGAAGAATAAGCAATAAAATAAACCATAAGAAACGAAACGTGTGGTAGCAACATTAAACTTAGGAAGTGAAATTTTATTGCATAAGGCTGCTGCAGTTAATCTTGTTCTTTCTTTCTGGCTTTTTTCTCTATTGACATTATGAATCATGCATAGTACACTGTGGTAGAATATGCGATTGCTCAGTTGTCGTAATCGAAATTTTCGTTTTCCCTTCATTTTTGTTAAAAACATACCGGTTGCGTTATCTTTATTTCATATGCATATATAGCTTGAAAACGAATGGGGGCGTATAAGAACCATTTTTGGGCCATTGTCAATTTTGATTGGTTCATCGTGTAATAGGCGCAGAATTTTATGAGGAATCGTTTGGTGACAAAATAGAGCTGTTTTCGAGGAGTTTTGATGGACTTTTCTCTCAAATACTATTGCATGCTTTGTTATCATAAATACATGATTCATACACAAATAAATCAAACATGTTTTTTTCTTAAACAAGACATTCCGAAGAGAAAATTATCTCAAACCACTACTCATCTCATACTCTATCTCTGATAAAAATTTCAGCCCGAACGGTTGAAGTTTTGCTGAGTAATAGTGTAAAAATCGTTCGGTCCAATATGAAAAACATATAGTTCTCTTATCACTTCTATTTAGTATTTTTGCAATATCTTGAGAAAGGAAAAAAACAGTACGGGATTTTGATTGATTCTGAAAGCTCGAAGAAAGGTCCACAAAATCATATGCTTTTGGACTTTTTTAGAGGTGAACTTTCTTAAATAAGATAATGCGACTTTTGCTTATACACCATTTCTTGCAATTTTTGTTCCGTATTTAACAGATTTCGATAGGAAAAAATAGGATTTCAGTCAAAACCAATAACATATTTGGAATCAGCACAAAAAGCTGAGTCGGTCTATATGTGTTTCAAAAGTTTTCGTCGTACTT